ATCCTCTTAACGCCCGGTCTACAATGAGTTGTTAGTCGTTAGTCAGAAGTCGGAACTATATGTCGGTCCTTTTTCTTCCACCCAGAAAGGAAAAGGATCAACATATAGTTGCGACTTCTGACTAACGACTAACGACTCATTGTAGACCGGGCCTAATGCTGGGTCTACAATGAGAGTCGCAGTCGTAAGAATAATCGACTGCGATTGGTCAATTTCGTCAGACACATAAAAATTGACCAATTATAGTCGACTATTCTTACGACTACGACTTTACGACTTCTATGTGGACGAGGCTTTAGCAATATAGGAGTACTATATGCTCTGATTACGGGAAGTTCGGTCTCCTTATACATACATATATTCTCCATGGTACTGACGAACTAAATTGTATGCTTTTGAAGAATAAAAATACAACGTAGGCGCAAAGATTCTAATTTTATCCAAATAACTTTTTCTATACTTTTTCTTGTAATTTTGAAACTCATTTTCTAATATGTCCAATTTTAAACCAAAAAAATTTTTTAATAGTATGTAGACTTCACTCTCGGCAAGGGAAATAATTAATTCACATCACACTTCATATTAATTATTTAAATGTATTTAAGATAAACGCATATAATTAATTGTACAATTAGTTGCAGAAGAACTAATAAGTCTCGCGTTCTCTCGCTCGCTAGTCGGAATAATCATACTCCACAATTATTTCTTCATTATCAGATGAGTTGTATGCACATTTAAAATATTCTAACATATGTGTTACTTTTGAAAGTTTTACATCTCTTCGATGCAACTTCTTTCTCAGAAGCTCGATTTCATGTTTTAATTTCTGTTCCTGCGGAGATGATTGAAGTCGTCGTGGAGATATTTGTGTTGCTACTTCCTAATTTAAAGATAATCCAAAAATTAAAATAGATAAAATATTGATTAGATAAAAGAAGTAAAAATAAAGTAAATTTACAAATAAATTTACCTTAGTATCAGGAGATGCTTGTACTTCATTGTCTCTTTTTCTTTCCTTTTCTGGATCATTGGTGAGATCAACCATATTACATTGTGAAATACTTGGAATTGCATTAGTCTCTGAAGATAAAGGACTTTCATTCTTTAATAATAATGTGTCATCTGAATTATTTTCTGTGAATTTATCTGGACTACCAGCGACATCAATCGATATAGTTTGTGGAAAAATGCTTGGAATTGCATTATCTTTTAATCTCCGCTGATTACCCCTTTGGTAATAATCCGATTCACGAAAATGTATCTGACACACTCGTAAAGATTTACTTTGCTTTACTATTGGTATAACATGCAACCATTTCTTTAAAATATCTTCTTTTTTTGGAAATCTAAATAAGTGGAAAAATTAATAAATCCAACATTTAAAGGAACTATTATAATAGCCTAGCCGATTTTATAACTCTTAACGACAGTTAACGTTACGTTGTTGCACAAGTTATTTTATATCATAAAAAGGCTGTGTAACGATAACATCCCTAGTAGCACAATGCATTGACCAAACATCGGTTAAACATTGGCTGCGTTCAGCAGAAAAAGCTGCTTTGCAACTGTTGTAAAATTCGTGAGTCTGATTGGCGTACATTCTTTTAATGTTGAGTGAATTTAAGAGCATACGCCAAGCAGATTCACGAATTTTACAACAGTTGCAAAGCAGCTTTTTCTGTTGAACGTAGCCATTGGCTCAATATTTGGTTGTATTGCGCCAATGTTTAGCCAATGCACTGTGCTACTATAGGGATGACAACGAACTGTCGTTAAGTGTTAATAATCGGCCAACATTGAGAATTAACTAACATCGAAACGATGTCGAAACGACGTAGAAATTGACGCAATTTGACATCGATTTGACGAGCTATTTCTCACTAGGAAATTGTGATTGTATTTTAGAAAAATTAATTACCCAAAAAAAGATATATCTTTGTACGGTGACCACGGTTCTTTACATACACAGCAGCACTTCATCTCTTGTATCTTTTCCAAATCAGAAAGGTAACCTTGATTCAACGTCGATACGGTTGTCAGCTGGTCGAGTCGATAATCCTACAATGTCAACCACTCTTTCATTGTTGATTCAAGATTAATTCAACGTCAAAGCAACTCACCCAGAAATAATTGGTCGAATCGACGTCGATTTAACGTCAATTGACATTAGTATTTCCAACTATTACTTTCCAACTGTTACTTTGGTAATACTGAAGGAGAGCGGCAACCTCACCGATCTGACTGTAACTAAGCAATATTGTGTATTTCGATGCGTAAAACACAACTGTGAAAGTAAAAATCGTCGCTCTGCCACAGAAAAAAAGTTATAACGTGTTGAAAAGTGACGGTTTTGGGGTTAGGATACCTGTCGTACCGACACGAACTGGCGCTATACTGTGCGGCGCAGACTGACCGAGCATGCGTAGTGACGTAATGGTGCGCGAAATTTGAAGTGTATTTAGGTAAAGCAGAGAATACTTCGAATAGTATTGAACTTGTGCGTTAGGTTAAAGCAGAGAATGTATTCTCTGCTTTACAGACAATATTTACAAAGAACACACGCGCACGCACACATACACACACAAGCAGGGGGTACAAGTGTTCGGAAATTATGCCTTGAAAAGATAAATAATAAATTATTTGTTCGAAAATAATATAATAAAT